AGCACAGGCTTGCACCAAGCACTTTCCATTGGCTCTCGTTGGGGTGTTCCCCATCCCGACGCCCTTTCCTTCCCYGCGCGGTCCCGTCGCCTCATGGCTCCCCATCCATGTGCTCTCGCCGRGGCCGTGGAGGAGGACCAGGATCCACATCCTGCAGCTGGAGGCGGCTGCAGAGCCAGCCTCGTGGGGAGCCCCACGTCCCTCCTCCTCCTCATGCAGGACTGAAGCTCCAGGAGACCCAGCCCCGTCGCCTCTAACCCTCCCTTCATCCTTATCCTACAGCACTGGGCACGAGTGCCCAGCCAGGCCCTGTGCAGTGCAGGGGACACGGACACGCTCCTTCCGACCTGCGCCAGCACCCTCCATGGGGATACACCACCGCTCGCAGCATTTTCCCAAGGGAAAATCCCATGCGAAGCGCCCTGTCTGCCGGCTCCCCGCAGGCACAGCCCTTGGCTGCGTCGGGAGCGAGAACCTGGCGCATCCCTCGTTACCGCTGTGYCCGGAGCGGCCGCGGTTACATAAGGAGCATCCGCGGCAGCCGATGCCCGCGCGAGGAGCCGCACGTGGACAGGAGYGGGGACAGGAGCATCGCGGTGAGGCCGAGCTCCCGCAATGTGCCCTAGGGATAACGATCCAAGGGGAGCTGGGGAAAACTGCGGCCGCTCCGCGTTGCTCCAGGCCTGCGGGAGCTTCCTGCTGGAAGAGATAACCCCAAACCGCAGCCACCTGCCAGCACGGGAATGGAAGCGGGCTCGGAGCGCCCCGGCCGGGAGCCCTTCCCGCGGTTAAACATTCACCCGGACAGCCAGAGWGCGGCAGAGGAGGGAAGCGGCTCCCAGGGGCCCTGCTGGAAACAATGTCCGTGCGCTTCGAGGGGAAAAACAACCAAAACGCCAAAACCTATTTTTATATTTTCCTGTGCTGTTTAAAGAAGGAAAAAAAAAAAAAAAAGCCCATTCTGTAGCTCAGGAAACGCCCACATCCTCCTGCCTGCGCAGGGAGGAGGCAGCAGCTGGATTTTTCCAGGGAGCAAGAAGCAACAGGCCGCCTGGAAAGTCGTTTTGCGTCGGTACCGACTCCGGCTGGCGTGGGCCGCGGGCCGGGCRGGCGGCGGGGCCGCGGCGGCCGCCTGATCCCGGCCACAATCGGCGGCATTCAGGGAGCCGCGGCTGCCAGCGCCCGCTCAGCGCCCGCGCTGCCAACAAGCGCCGCTTTATGAATCGCCCGGCCCGGCGACGCCGCGCACACGGGGCCCTCTGTGCGGGCGCGGGGGCAGCGCCGGACACCCCCCGGCAGCGCCGCCCGCCGCCGCGTTCGGCTCGGTTTTCACRCACCAAATAACGCGGCTCGGGTTCATCCTCGCGGAGCCGGGCGGCGCCTCAAAGCGGAGCTGGCGGCGCGGGCGCGTTTCCACACGGGCCTCCTGGCTCCGCTCCACGGCGCCGCCGCCTCCGGCCGCCTCCCGGCCGCTGACCCCAGCCCGCGCCCGGCCGGACACGCCGCTTTCTGCTTAAAAAGGCAAAGATTCCCGCGCGGAGCGGCACATCCCAGAGGCCGCGCCGCTCCCACCCCCACGCAAACCAGTTTGTTTAAAGGAGGAAGACAGCAAATTCCTATTTCCCTGTGTTTACTTGGAGATGGCCGGAGAGGAATGAAGGCTGCGGGTGCCTCGAGCGCCCGGGCGCAGCTGGGGCCCGCGGGCGTCCCTGTGCCCGGGCAGTGGCCATGGGGCGAGCGCTTGCCATGGGGCCGTGGGGCTCGGCGTGGCCGCTGCCAAACGCTCCCTCGAGCCACGCGGAGCCAGTCCCTGGGATAGAGGCCGAGCTCCCGCTGCCCTGCCAGGCACCCCGTGCGCCCGGAGGCAGCCCGGCGTTGGCACCGTCTCAGAGGGGACAGCCCAGAGCCCCGCGGTGCCACCCGGGCCGCTCCGCGCGCCGCCAGCACTTGCTGCTGCCCACGGGCAGCCGGGCTCGCCGGGACGCACCTCCCGCCTCCCACGCTGCCTTCCAGGGGCATCGCGGGGCCCCGGCGCGGTCCTGAGCTCACCCACCTGGGAACACCCTGCGGGACAGGCCAGAGGCGGGCAGGGAATGGGGACCAAACAACCATGGGGGGACTCCGTTTGCCCGCACCGAGAGCTCCCCGAAACTGCCCAGGCAGCGTGGCCCAGCCCAGGCCCCAGAGCTGGCCCACACTGTGCCATGCCTGGAGCGGGCGCAGGGGGACAAGAGCCCCTGCCCCACGCGTGGGGTGCCTTGCGCTGGCCGTCTGTGTGGGGACAGGCTGCGGGCAGGCGGCTCCCTGTGCCACCTGCGCCTGTGTCACCTGCCCGGAGCGGCGAGCGGCGCCGCCCGGGCCACGCGGGGAGCGGCGGGAGCCGCGTCCCTGGGGGAAGGCGGGGACGGGGATGCGGGGGATGCGGGGGATGCCCGCGCCGAGGGACGCGCAGGTGGGAGCCCTGCGCGGGCGGCCGGGGATGCGCGCGGGCCCCGCAGGGAAGGGGAGCGGGAGCCGCGGGCGCGCTCCGGATCCGCAGGGAAGGGGAGCGGGAGCCGCGGGCGCGCTCCGGATCCCGGAGGGAGGCGCGGGAAGGAGCAGGCGCGGGGGCTGCAGCCGGGCACGGGGGCGCGGGGAGCGGCGCTCACCGAAGTACACGGTCTTGTCGCACTTGGGGCACTTGGATGCCATGGCGGCGGTGCCGGGAGCGGAGCAGGGAGCCGGGAGCGCGGAGCGGAGCCGAGAGCGGAGCGGAGCGGGGCGCGCAGCCCAAGCAGAGCCCGCTCGCCCGCCCCGCCCCTTGGCCGCGCTCCGCGGGGCGGGGCCGGCGGAGCCGCC